CAGATCACAAACGCATTCAAATAGACTCAGTAATTAGGTCTATGTGTCAAATCCACCCAATGCACTGTGGGACTGCACCGAACTTCACAGGCTGGAATAACGGTGACGGAGATGAGAAGCGAGTCACGGAGACGAGAAGCGCTGCCGCAACATCTTCTGCCTCCGAGGCGGCAAATTGTGTTTCAGCAGCATCGTGATGTCGCTGAAACAATCCGGCTGGTTGTGATAAGAGATCTGAACAGTGTTAGAGCTCATTCATGCATCAGCAGCAGCACTGTGAGTAATAATGGAGCAATAATAAGAACAAGATCGGCCACTTCATCATGATGTGACATGAAAGTATCTGGAGAACCGGTTCTTCTTCTTTAACACTTTTCACATTCTCTGAATATTTGTTACTGGAGTAAAAACTTTAATTCAGATTCTTAAAGTTCACGTGTTCACAGATACGAGCTCGGAACATACGCCTGACTAAATTCAGAAACATGTGGAAAACAAAATGACCTGCCAGACACTAGGGGGCGCTGCGATCGTCCAGGCTAGCGTCCTCGGCCTGTTGTAACACACTCATGTCTGATTCCCTCCTCGCAGCGGACCAGGCGGACCCCTGTAAGTTTCTGGCCTGTGACGGGTTCTCTCGCTGTGAAGTGAGCGGCCGGACGAAGGAGGCCCAGTGCGTGTGCGAGCCCGGCTTCCTGTCTGTGGACGAGCGGCCGTGTCAGAGCGTCTGCGTCCTCCAGCCTGAATACTGCAGAGGACGGGGGGCGTGTCACATCCTCCCAGGACACGGTGCCGTGTGCAGGTAAAGACACGCAAGGGCTGCTGGGATATTGAGTTTGAGAGGGTGATCGGCTCAGGAGTGCTCCTTTAAGATGAGCTGCAGAGAAAATGGATGAGACTTTTTTAGACGAATCAATGAGAAGGTGACGGATACAACAACTGAAAAATATAAAACTGGAACATTACATAAGATTAAAAAACATTTTAATGATGGTGTCATTAAACACTATGATGTCACTGTTCTACACTGATTGTGTCAGTCTGGTTTTCTCTGTATGTTTTTCCAGCTGATCTTTATTATAACTTTATTATTATAACTTTATAATAATTTTAAGATTTAATCTGTGACACGTGGACACCCCTCCCCCGGTCGTTGTTTAAGAATAATAAAGTGACGGTAAATATCAGAAACACATTAAACAGACAAACTGAACGTAGCCTGAGGTTCAATGTGGTTTTAAATATTGTCTCTGTGTTTGCTCTCTCGCTCTCTCGCTCTCTCGCTCTCTGATTGCTGATGTCTCTCACATCTTCAGCCGTCGGCAGCGTAAATCGATGCTAAGTGGATTTTTAATGGAGAGAGGGCGTTTATTAAATTAACTACCGGCTCACACAGTCCGACCCCGTCAGAGCTCAGCAGCTCGGCCTCCGACACCGGCTCCTCCGAGACTTTTCGTTTCCCATCAGTCGAACCTCTGCAAAGATTGTTTTGGGTTTTATCAGCATCAGCGACTCTGTTGACCTCAGACTGAAATGTCTTTCTGTGAATTCTCCTGATGTTGGTGAAGCTACAGAGACGACGCTCAGTGATTCAAAGGTCAACAGCCGACGAACCAAACGTCTGTTAGTGTTGGTTTACTTTTATTTACATATAAATCATGTGATTAAATCCTAAAAAGGTCGAGTTGATCAATAATTCACAGGAGAGAGAAAAATGAATTTATGGAAAGTGAGAAAAACCTTTTATTCTTTCACAACAAGGTGTTTGAACGTGTCAGAGGAGGAGGAGGAGCCACAGTCACATCTGAACACTGTTCACAGATCAGATCAATCAATTCTTCTGGATTTACAACATCTGGTTTATTGTGACTGAGATTTTAGAAACAAGAAGAATTGGAACATTTCTGCTGCAGAGGCCAGAGGACGTCACGTTGTGTCTTTGTCACAACAGACACTCGTTGTCCATGATTCAGTCGTCCTGTCCTCGTCTCCTTGTCCTTCTCTCCCTGTGGTAATGGTTCCTCCTCTGAACTGCTCCTGAATCTGTGGACTCAGCGAGGACTCTGGTTCCGAGTTGCTGCTGCTGCAGTTTCTCTCTCACCTGCTTCATTTTTCTCCTTTTCACAGATACGACGACAGGTACTCCCTCCCGGGCCGGGCCAGTTAAGAAAATATACGGCCCTGGACGGCACCTGAGAAAACGACTGAAGGTAAGAGGAGCCAGGTCGTTCCTCCCTCGAGTGCAATCGTGTGTTGCTGCAAGAAGCTTGTGCTCAGTCAGCGAGAAAACCTCCCAACCGAACCAGGAGCAAACTCGTCTTCACGGTCCTCCGAGTGTTTTATTAGGACAAACCGAGGAGCTGTAATCTGCCTCCGCCGTCTCAAGCTAAATTGGTTTAGAGCTGCAGCGTTAATAGAGACGCAGAGTAATCAAACCTCCCAGAGGACAGAGGACGGCTGGGCGTCTTCTGGAGCGAGAAACTGTCTTCATGAGTAAACACACCGGGATTTGTCCCGACTCCTCGTCTCACCTCGGGTGATTAGTCTGGTCCTGATCCTCTTTTGGGGTCTGAGCTGAGCGGGAGCTTCAGGACTCTCATCGTGTCCCCACACAAACATCAATACTTTACATTTAAGAGGCTTTTGGTGAAGATAACAAACGATGACGCTCCTTCGCAGCTTCAGCTCCTCAAACTAAACTAAGATCTTCGTTTCTCTCATCTTCTCGTTCACAGAAGTTAGAGTTTAAATCAGAGTTCATCCATTTTCACAAAGAACAATTAACACTCGTCAACGTTAAGAAGATTATCTGAACAGGAAACATGTAGAATCAGAATCTAACGACAAACACAATTATTATTGTGTGAATCTTCTTAAATCTCCTTAAGGTCACAGTTTGTGGAATAGTTCAACAGATTGAAAATATTGTGTCTTCACAGAAAAATGAATATTAACATAGAACTCGTTCAGAGTTCAGCATGAAAATAGGAATGAAAGTCTATAAGAGGTAATTCCACTGTTTCTGTGAAACCTTGTGATGAACTGGAATCATCCTGAACATTGAAACAGTCGAGTTTAAAATGTGGATGAAACGTTTTGTTCTGGAGAGAAAAGAGTTGAGATACGAGTCGTGATCTGAGAAGATCGACGTGGATCCAGAGGCTCGTTGTTCCGGTTAACAGACGCTGTGAAGCAGCTTTCTGATAAATCTGTAAAAGTCCTCATGAAAAGCAAACGTTGACTCAATCACGTTAACGTCACCTTTGTCTCTGCAGACGAATCAGGTGGGAACTCGTCAAAGCCTCGAAGACGACAAAGAGTTTTCAGAACAAAAGTCATCAGAGCTTCGAGTCAGAGACGATTTTCCTTCAGGGATTAACAGACACTTAAGAAAGGAACTGTGGCACAGCGGTCGACCGAAGAGGAGCTCGGACGTCTCTGCTGCATCGATGGACACTGACTCTTTGTTTACTGACGCTGTAGACCAATGCTTTATCTTGAGATTCTCTGGATCAGTTGTTGTTGTTTAGGTCTGTTCAGACTTTTCTGAATTTTCCGATAATCCCGATAATCAATTCGAATGTTTTTCAGCTCGTCTCAGGCGGACGAATGAGTTGATGAGTTTCATGACGTAGGTCACAAATCGTTTAGCTCGTTACAACTGAAAGGTGCTTTACGTAAGTTTTCTCTGTGACGCTTGTTTGCTGCGCTACAGAAGATTCTGTTTTCATTTCCGTTTGTTTGTTTCCAGGAATTCACAAAAACTACCAAACTGATTTTCTTAAAAATGGTGGAACGATGGGGGGGGCCGGCCGAGGGAGGACTGATTCAATTGAAGGGGTGTTGTGGGACGTCCATTGTCCGACTAGTAAATATCCATCTTCTCAGAAGGTGTTTTAGTTTCAGTCAATTTGTTCCGACTCTTTTCGTCCACATCGACCGTTTACCTGCGGAAAAACCCAAAGCTGCTGATCGATCAAACTCATTCACATGTAGAATCTGTTGAACTTTATTTAAAACTTTAAGATAGACGTTAGACTGAGTGAGTCATCGTTGTGAACAGAGGTTGTAATATACAAACAAAGTTTATATAAAGTATTTATAATTCGTCCTTCGAGCAGCTGGTTAGCATCTGAACATCAAGTGAGACAGAAACTCGTTGATAAAGTTAATGAGTTTGACGCTGAACATTTCTGCAACATTGGTAAATGAAGCTATTGATGCTAATGTTAGCGATGTAGCATTAGTAAAACTTACATAGAGCACCTTTGAGGTTAGCGATAACGTGACATGTGACCATCATAGAAAAAAAGTTTGTTTCCCCGTCGGTTGTTTGATTTAAATGTTTTTTTCGAGGTAAAAAGTTTTATCAACGAAAAAAAGCTAAAATTGGTTCTTTTGATGTCTTTGATCTTTAATTATCTCCTTAGTTTGATATTTGGTCTGATGGTGGCGCCACAATCCAGAAGGTTGGGAACCAGTGCAATGTTGTTTCATTTCATCATTAACTAAAATACAAACTTGAACCTGACGATGGTTTGAACCATATCGATGTTATTTTCGTAAAACTTTGTAAATAGTTTGAAAGCTTTGATCTGCATCACATGGTTTTCATCAGAGGCTTAAAGTGACGTCGTGGGAAAGCTACGACAGAAATCATTAACCCTTTGATGAAGACTGTGTCCGATGATCCAAGCTTTGATCTGTCCGTCACTTTTTCATATTTTTGTCTCATGACTCATTTCTGAAGTTGCACTGTAAAAAAATGATTTTGCGAGTTGTTAGCTCTCCGTCGCCTGTTTGTCCGTACACATCCTGTAAATATCACGTGTGTCTGGACTCGTCTCGTTGCTGTAAATGTTCACTTACGTGTTGTTTTACAAATAATAGTTCAAAATACAAACTGCTGAATAAGAGACGTCACTTTCTGCTCATTTCACTTGAAGAATCTTTTGCAGATACTCAGTTTCCATCACGTAGAGTCAAAGAAGCAGCCAAGGTGAGTGAAACATGTTTTTATTCATCTGTTAGAGATCAGTGTTAGAAAAGTGACAGCGGACGAAGGCAGCGCTTCCCGAGGAATGATTGTAAAGTGAGAGAGAAACGGATCGCAGGACATTTTCCTTGACGTCTCAGGAGGTCGTCACTCTGACGTCTCAAAGGACGTTTACACTCGACGTCAACACGCAGCGTTTCAGACAGAATGCACAGATCTGATTTGTTACAAACTAAATCAATGTTTTTAACGAAGTTTGACCGATAACATCGTTTGATTCAAGGTGAATTTTTTTTTTTATTGGAATAAAACTTGATTTAAATTTAAACTTGATCGGAAAAGATTTTATTGACGTTTCTTCGTAAAGGTTCAGTTCTGTTCCAATCAGCCACAGAACGTAAACAAAGATGGACGACAAGACAGCGAGTGTGTGGGCGGGACTTCGATACCCCAGCTCCACTCGGCTGCAAATGACGTCATGACCACAAGATGGCAGCGTTCGTATCGGGATGTTTTTGGCTCCGTTAGCGGAGACGTGTCGTCCATCTTCATTTGATGTAATTTAGGAAATTTAAACTTGTCTGATCCAAACGTTTGGACTTTGTGAAACTTGTCACATAGTTTTTTGGTATTTTCGATCCAGCGACACGAACTGGACGACCCTGGATTAAAAAGGTTTGAACACGGAGGTCGACCTGCTTCAATGTGAATCACAGTTGGTACGAAACGTAGACAAAAAACAGTTTCCCCTCTTCCTGCGTGTTGACGCCTCGTGTTCAGACAATCACCTGACTCTTGTGCATCAGAAGGAAAGGTTAGCAGCCTCAGGTGTGGGATTGTCTTTACATTGTTGACGACAAACGGACGACTCGGCTCATTTTACCTGGTTCATTGCTTCTCTGATCAACCTCACAGACTCAAGTAGAAATCGTTCTTTTAAAAATAAACGTTTACATTCCAGTGGAAGCGTCGATGTCGCTGCACAAACCGAACTCACGTGATTTCATAGAAAATATCTCAGTGTTAGAAGAAGGTTCCAGTTCCAGTCTGACGACCAGCGCTTTGTCCACAGTTCAGCACAGAAACATGTCCAAACTGACATTTCAAACATTTTCTAGAATCAGGTGAATTTATTCAACAAACAGCCAAATGTAGATTTAATATTTTAAAGATAAAGTCAAAGAAAAACATGTTGGAATCACTAAGTTTGCAAATTAAGTTTCCTCGTGTACAAAGATTTAATTGAAAGACTAACGATGTTTTAATGACTTTTTTGCGGCACTGATCTGCTCTCGAACAGCAGCAACACACAGTCGCAGCTCAGCAGTTGCATAATTAATTCACATTTTCTGCAGAAACTAATCACGGAGCTGAATCACTGCTCGGTCCCAAAAACAAAATAAAATAAAATGTTTCAAGCAACGTTTGGTCTCAAAGTCACAAAGTTTCTGAACCTTTTCTCATTAAGTCGACACGAAATCACACGATGAGGAAAGAAGGAATCACGACAGGAAGAAATCATGGAGGTCTCAGGTCACATTCGGCCGGAAAGACGAAGGTGAAATAAAGTTTTAGCAGATTTAGGGACGAGTGCAGTGAGGAGGAGTTATCTGACGCTGCCTCTCAGCTCCATGTGTCAGAACCACACGAGGACGATGTAAACAGCAGGTCTGTTACCATGGAAGCGACGTGAGAGTCACGATCGGGAATGTATAATTACACGGGAATTTAAAGTTTGTTGTTTGGGGAGGCAGCTCTGAACCAAAGGAGAAAAGAAAGGAGGAGAGGAGGTCGTACTTGTGGTAATTAAACCCTGTTAACGTTGTGTTAAGGCCTCGTAGTTAAACTTGCAGAGACGAGAGGAGAATTCCTTGGAAAACAACCGGATGTGATCATTTTATGATTTTTTTTCTGCATAGGGTTCGATGCGAAACGTCCCGGCCCTCGCCGCGACTCGACGGAGTGAAGCGAGCGAGAAACTTAACGACGAGAGAAAAACAAAAGGACAGTTGTTCGAGCGAACCTCCCGGGCGAGCGCTCCGACGCCATCTGTGTTAGCTAGCTGAATCCGTCCCTTTGTTTGCAGCGAGAAGCCCCTCCCCCTCCTCGTCACTTGAACATGCTCTGCAGCATGGCCGTGGCGTAGGTGGGTCTGGCTTGTCGGCTCTCGATGGCGCTGCGGAGATACTGGATGCCGCCGCAGCGCTCCCAGATCTCCTCGAACTGACGGGGCAGGATCTCCGCCCCCCTCTTCCTGGACAGGCCCGTCTCCTCCAGACTCAGCTCGCACATCTCCATGTCGTCCTTTCCTGGAGGACGAGATTATAGTTCAGGGTTAGTTTGACGGGAACAGCCGGAGTCACGGTTCGTCCTGTTTCTGTTAATGAGGACTAAAACCTCATTCTCCTTCAGTGTTTACGTTAAAATCTCTAAAATCTGTACAAGCTCCTGTTCGTCTGCTCCGAGTAAAAACATGTTACACTTTTTATTTGAGATCAATTTAAACAGGATCAAGAAAACAACGATCAAAAGTTTGTCACATAACTAATGGGCTGATCTTTCAAAGTAAAAGTCTTTAGTACAAAATAAAACTTCAGTTAATTGCAGGACGATTACCGCCCCCTACCTTTCATATGCATATTGCATCTTCTTCTACAGTCTTTTCGTGATTACTTTATTCTGTCGCTCAGACCCTGCAGTTTCTCACAACTTCCTGTTTCAGACGAGCGATTGTCCAATCGTAGCATCGTCACGTGTGCGTGTAGTACTGACCTGCCACCAGCAGGATGGGGTGTTTATCGGGATGCAGCTCCATCTGCCTGGCGATCCAGGGCCCGTCGAAGTGAGCGTACCACCAGCCCTTCTTCTTGTTCTGAGGGTCCTTGTACTGGTCGCTCGGCCGGATGAACGGGATGCGGAAGTAGCGCTGCTGCCGGTTCATCGCCACCTCGTACTGCCGGGCCGGGATGGGCGGGGCCGGGTTCTGCTGGGCTGTTGTTGTTTGGATGGGAAAAAAAAAGTCAGGCGTCTTTTCAGTGATGACAGCGACCAATCAGGAGTCAGTGTTCATGTTGCCATGCAACCGGGGAGAGACGCCAGAATTTAGTTTTCAAAATGGTTCCTGTTTCTCAGCCTGTGTTTTAACTGAGGATGAAGACGGATCTGACCCTGAGCAACATTTTCTCTCCGGGACTTTGACCGAGAAAGAATCTGAACGGGACAATCAAGGATTTTAATATAAAAGCTGCTTTCAGGCGTCATGTGAGAAAGTTGGAGATTCATTCAAGTATTTCTCCTTCAGTTAATACACAGGTGAAGGTTGTCAGGAGGTCAAATCTTCTCGCTGCATGTGAACACTGAGGCCGTCGCTGCTGTTCTCAGATCAGCTGGTAACTAATGAGGCTGTTGTGGTGAGTCCTGCTGTTGGAGCTGGGGGGAGGGTCAGCGGAGATCACAGCTGATGACACAGGGAGGAAACCAGCAGGACGTGAAGCGCCGCCACCGACACACACGTTTGAGGAAATGAGCACAATCTGCATCTTTCTACTGAGCGGAGACTAAACCAGGGATCTACAGAGACAGAGGACGATTCTCTACGAGACAAAGAGACCAAGAGACAAAGAGACCAAGAGACAAAGAGACCAAGAGACAAAGAGACGCTCAGCAAGAGAATATTCATTTTAACAAAATCATTTCATCTTGGTTTCACTTTGAAATCAATAAATAATAAACTGTTTCTAATGCAAATAAAGATTTTCTGTTTCTTAATTGATTAGAGACGAGCTTCATTTTAAACATCATATTAGTACGAGTTCAGAGTATTGAGCTCCGTCTAAAGGTTTGTTTTCCAGATAAAACCATAAATTAATTACGTCACACATTTTCAAAAATAAAATGAAATACAACTAATCTTACAACTCAAATCAAATTTACTCTTGAAATCTCTGAATACTGATTCATTAATGAGAAAAAAAAGAGCTGAAAATAATAAATTCACGAGACTAAAACACGTCTGCAGGAATAATTCACGTGGGATTAGTAGTTTCCTGAATGACCTTTATTTCCTTTTGTCTGCTCGACTCCTCCCACTACTTTCTCTCCCCCCTCCCCTCGCCATTCATCAGTCACTGAGCTCCGCCCTCATCTGCTCCATCCTCGGCCTTCGTCTGTCACAACCTCTTCTCCGCAATAAATCTCCACTTGTCACTTTTCTGTGTTCAGCTTCTATCGATTAGAAAGTCCGATCACCTCGTCGGCTGGTTTTCTAGTAAATCTGTGAATTCTATCTCTGTAAATAATAATTTAATAAATATTTATATTTTTTATATCTATAATGCCGTCAGCCGTCAGTGTTTGTAAAGTGATTCCAGGATTCAAACCTTGTTAAAATCAATAGTTGCAGCTTCTGAAAACATGAAAATCTGTCTCAGAGCAACACACTGTTCCCCCGTCACCAACAAAATGAGCCCACACACACACACACAC